TTCTTGATCTTCTCTTAGCATTTTTTGGCTGCGGCTTGCAATTATGCTTTGGTTATACTTGTGTTGAAGTATTCTTGCCTTTGCCCTTGTTATTAGTCTTTTATGTAATGTTGGAACTTCAATATTTTGGAGTTGAGACTCGGTTTAGTCCAGTTCAGCTTGAATGTTTTCATCGTATAGGTACCTTGGAACTCACGTACAGGCAAATAAGTGATGGATATTCCCAATATGCCTTCATCTTTTTCTGTTGATGAAACTACTAAGAATCAGTTCCGGATAAGTTGGATGTACGATAGAGTTTCCTAGGAGTCAGGGAACAAGGTTTAAGGTGAAACCCATCCTCAGTGTGAGTGTGAGGGTTGAGCCAGAGTCAAAGGTGGTGCAGCATGATATATAATCGACATGTACATGAAAAGCATGCAAAAGTTTACTGATTCACTGGCTAAGAATCTTACCCTAAGATAAAGCTTCCTCTGGACATTGATAGCCTAACAAAATCAGAGAATTCAAGCTCTGATTCTCAGAAGCTGCCAACATCAAAGAGATCTGTGTGTTCTACGGGAGCAGACCTTTTCTGTTTTACCAAGTTCAGAGGAAGAACGCATGTCATTCTTTTGAACTTATCTCATGAATCAAATTCTTTTATTAGTATTTTTCTTTCTTAAATGTTGCTAAAATTTGTGTCACAATATTAGTATTTTTTCTTTTTTAAATTGTATTTCTTTTTAATTATAACCAATCAAAATATGCCATTTAATACTATATTTAATTAAAATACAAAATTAAAATTTAAGAATTAAAATACTCATTCAAATTTTTTATTATATCCATATATAAATAAATAATATATATTTAAAAAAAATAAAGTTTGGGTTTAGGGATTAGGGATTAGAGTTTACTTTTTATTTTTAATTTCTTTTAAAATTTAAAGATTTGGATTTATGATTTATAGTTTAGGGTTTAGTTTTTATATTTAAAATTTTTCTTTAATTTATATATTATGGTTTAGGGTATAGGGATTAGAGTTCAAAATTTAAGAATTAGAGTTTAGATTTTTGTTTTTTTATTATTAATTAGTTTTATATATATATTTTTTAATTTACCTTAAATATTACATGGCACACTTTAATTAGTTGTAATAGAAAGTGATGAATAAAAAGATTCACTCCTAAGGATAAATCCAAGAATCGTTTTTTTTTTAAGATCGGTAGAAAATAAAATAAAGAAAAACTAAACCCCAAGAGTAACCAAAATTATATATTTCAAGAATAATCTCGAATTACAATTCATTAACCAGGTAGTACACCCACAATGTAGTAATATAGTAACATAATCGCAATCAGACAGTCTTACCATATCGTCAATCTTGTTTAAGTTTCGGAAGCTTCTCCTCGTGTATAACCTTAATAACAACATCTTCTTCCCTCTTCAGTAAAAAACTGAAACTGAGCTCATCAACTTTCATGGACTCCTTCTCAGGGGCCTCGACCTTCTTGTCACCCAAAAAGGGGATAGTAATATTTAAATTATCTTAAAATTTAATAAAAGATACTAGGAATTAACATAACATTTTTTAAATTATCTTAAATTTTAATTCTAATATTTTTGTTAAATTAAATTGGTAGCAAAAATCTTTTTAACAAAAAATATAAATAAATAAAAGTGGTGGCAATTATATAATAATACATATATAAATATCACAAAACTGATATTTACATATATATATATATATCATCGAATAAGACTTTGAGCTAGTTTTGTTATGCAGTTTAATTATTAGTAGATTTTTTAAATGTAAAAGTGTTATGATGTTAATATATATATATATATACTTATATACATACCAACATAGATTAAAATCTATATATATATATATAAAATAAAAATTTAAATGTGAATATTTTACTAGAGGTCAAACTATCATTTTTAGTTAATGAATTATATAATATATATTAATAATAATTATATATAGGATTGTCAAAGTAGACAAATCCGTCTTCTTAATCTATTTCGCAATTGAACTGATTTTCAAAAATGATACTAAGTAATCATGAAAATACAAATGAAAAATATTGTAAAAGTTTAAATAGATTTTTTCATATACATATGGATTGATTATTATTTAAAATAATAAAATTTATTTTAATATTTTAATAAGTAAAGAAACTAAATATATTTTTAATTTATATCCATATATATTCAAAACAAATCTGTAAAATCTATATATAACTGTCTTTTATGGATGAATATTTAATTGAGTTTTCTATATTTGTAAAGTTTGTTTGTGTAATATAAGATTTAGTTATTTATATCTTATAAATAAATTTTTATTTATATAAAATTTTAATATCTTACAAATAAATATTTATTTATGTATAATAATGTAGAGACTGGATTAAAAATTAGCAAACCTGAAGAATAAGTGACATAAGATGGTGATCAATATATGATTGCAGGAAGGATTAGAAGAGAAAACATTTTTTTTTCTTTCTGTGTGTTACAAGACTTACCCTCGTATCATCCATTTAGCACAGTGGCGGAGGCAGAAAAATTATTGACAAGAGACACAATAAAAAAAATTGTAGAACACAAGGTCATCTTCACAAATTTCATTGCAAAAAAACACCTTTTGACGGTTGCGGTCGCAACAGGAAGAATCAAACATAGCTTCAATCTTAAAAGTTTTTTCGCTTTGCTGGATCATATGGTAAATCATCCAATTCAATATTAGATAGTGGAAATTTTCTTTTGAAGAACTGTTTTATTATGTTTGACTTTTGAATTATTTTTGCTGTTCTGGATTTAAATTAGATATGACCTACATGTACACTAAACATCATCGATAGTTGGTGATTTAGTGTCTGTATGTTAAATTGTTTAAAATCAATAGTTTAAGCAATTTAGCCACAGATTTCCAAAAATAAAAAGGAACGTGAATTACTTGAAATTTATATTTTTTAATCGATAAGTAGCTTTTCCTTAAAAAAAAAAACACTAATGTGCAGTTTCCTCTATAAATTATATTAGTTTTTTAGAAATGATCCATAACTTATATATTAATAATTTAAGATGAACTCTTATTTATAGTGTAATTACCCTTTCTAAAATGTTACACTTTGTCGATGTGGAATAAATTATGGTGCTACAATTCATTTTTTTTTTAATTCCACTTGGATCAGCTCACCCACCTCATTATCGACTGCCTCCGCCACTGATCTAGCATATATTTATTTATATACATGTAATGTACGCGCTTGGATGGAAGAGAACCAGCTCGCCCTAAGGTATTTTGTCAAATTTTTCATCTCATTCCTAGTAGATTTGGCACTCTTAAAACACATTTGAATTCTTGAAAATCTTATGTTATAGAAAACATTCCAGAAAGTGAAGTTAAAAAAAAAAAAACATTCCAGAAAGTGAGAGAGTTAACGATATGATAACTGCTCGATTGATGTCACAAGATACAGTAATGGGCCACCTGTATCACGTATCACTCTGCTTCTGGCCAAGTTAATATATATATATATATATATATATATTACATATAATTTAACTATCTAAAAATATTTAAAGATAATAATTTTTACTTATTTTTCTCTTAGTTTTTCCTTGTATTTTGTTGATATTTTACTTGTGTTTTGTTTATATTATGCTTTTGAACTTTAGCAAAAAAATATTTTATCATAATAGATATTACATAAATATTAGAGTTTTGCATACTGGTTTTGAATTTTTAAAAACTAGATGAACTACACTTAGTTGACGATATTAAAATAAAAATATATATTACCAAAAGCTAAGATCAGAAAAATTATTTAATTAATTGTTAATAATATGAGAATGAAAGGGAATATATATTAAAAAATTTCATTAAAATGGATGACTATAATAAAATAAAAAAAATTAGACGTATATATATATCATGGGGAACTTGCAAAAATCCACACTAATTTCAAATATCACTCCAGAGGAAATACAAAGAGCATTTACATTTATAACAAAAGGCAAAGAACTGTAATTCAGCATAGATCAAATCTCACTCTGTCTTTACGACAAAAAGTAAAAACAAAAAACAAGTATGTAACTCGAGTTTTTTTTTTCTTTTGGGAGAGAGAGTTTAAATACAACTGAAAATTTTGTCGTTTAGGTTTCCATGATGAATTAGTAAGAATCAGCGTGTTTACTGTCTTGAATTTCTATAGAGCATACAATCTTTTTCCAAAAGTCTTTGCATGGATACCGTATCCCTAATTTGTTCCAGCTGATACTTTAGTTATATATATACCTTGGTACCTTGGTATTCACGTGAAGTGAATAAGTGATGGCGATTCCTACTATGCCTTCATCTGTTTCTGTTGATGAGACTACTAAGAATCAGTTCCGGATGAGTTGGATGTATGATAGAGTTTCCCATGAGCCAGGGAACGAGGTTTCAGTGAAACCCATCCTCAGTGTGAGGGTTGAGCCAGAGTCAAAGGTGGTGCAGCATGATATATATAGTCGACATGTACTTGAAAAGCATGTATTAACAGTTTACTCGTTACTGATTCACTGGCTAAGAATCTTAGCCTAAGGTGAAGCTTCCTGGACACTGATAGCCCAACAAAATCATAGAATTCAAGCTCGATTCTCAGAAGCTGCCAACTTCAAAGCTCTGGACATTACTTACCTTTTCTGTTTTACCAAGGTCACAGGAAAAACGCAGGTCATTCTTTTGGACTGATCTCATGAAGAAAGAAAAATTAGATTTCACCTACATGGGAAGTTGGGAACCAATAAATTGGTAAAAAAAAAACACAGACACTAACTATCAATTCATCACCAAGCAAACAAAAGGCTTCCACATAATCAACTGCCTAGATTTGGTTTAAGCTAAACAGAATGTTCAGTAGCAGTCTTTCGCCGGTAATCTAACTTTCATAATCCTGAAGAAATAAAAATAATCGATCTTTTTAAAACATGGTTTTTAACCATTTTATATATTAATATATATGATTAGACCGACTTATTATGAAAAAACAAAGGATCTTCATAAATACATAAAAGTATCTAAACTCTCAGCCCCTCGAAGAACATCTCTTATAGTATATAGTTTGGCCGCTTGGATTCGCTAATTTAAAGAGTATGAAATAATATTTTTATTATTACATGACAGTGATCAACATCTCCAATCTAAACGTATTTCTCCAGAGCCCTCAAAATGCTGACTACTAGGCTTCTTAAACGAAACCATATGGCTTTTGACCATAAACGCAGTGACTCGCTTCGAAACCCTAATCTCCTCCATCCTCAGCTCCTGTAACCGCCGCACGTACTCCGGCACGTGCACAAGGTCCCACACCACTCCTACCCCGCCTGGTTTCAGCACCCTCACCACTTCTCCTAGCACTCTCGTCCCTCTCCGCCGCCGCCTCCACCGTCTTCTGTCCGTATTCTTTCCCGGCGGTGTGGAGGAACACGGCGGAGACCACCACGTCGAAGTAGTTGTCACCGAACGGAAGGCGTCTTACGTCTCCTTCACGGCAAGTCACGTACTCTTGCACTCCTACAAAATCATAAATTCTCCACAACAATTGGTTAATCAATTTACGCTGATTAATTCACTGATTAACCCTGTTTTTAATTCACTAGATAATTAATGAATTGAAGTGAAACAATTTTATATAGATAATAATCGAAAATGACAAGAACAACGAAAAAATATGAATTGAAACTATTTTCAATAGCTAATAATTGAAAATAATTAAAATTTTTATTTCTGATTTTAAAATGCTCAACTGTAATAAATTGTAAAAGTTCGTATTTGTAATAATGCATGTTTATGTTATTTACTTGAAACCGTTAATCACGCAACATGTTACTACAAAATAATATGTTGGTCAACGAGAAACAACGACTTTGAAACGAGTCAAAAAGTCAACGAATAACAAAAATACTCAAACGCACCTTCGATGTGAGCGGTACGGAGAGTGGAGAGAGTAGTGGTCATGGATCGGTCTAACCCGACGACCCGACCCGAACTACCGGTTTTCTTCAGCTGCGTCGCCACCGCATTCAGCAGAATCCCTCGGCCGCAGCCGAGATCAAGCGCCGTCTTCACGCTCGACCAATCCACCACCGATCCAACCATCCTCTGCGCCATCTCGTACCGGAGCGGCACGGCGGAGTAGAAAAAATTCCCCGCCGCGAAGAACAAACACACGGCGGAGAGTGCCGTTACGGCACCGAAAAATCCGGCGGAGAATCTAGCCGCGGCGGCGCTGGAGAAGAGGAACGACTCGAGGAAGACGCAGATCGGGTGGAAGTAGATGAAAAACACGGTGGAGAGAACGGAGAAAGCAATGGCGTTGAGGAGGAGGAAGAAGAGAGTGTGTTTCTGCTCGATCCCGTAAATCGCGTAGATCTGACCCCAATCTCTCGTCCCGCTCGTCTTCCCCATTTCTTTATCAAAATTATCTAGATCGAAATTTTCGATTTCCTCAATTTTCCGAGAAATCTAAAATCAACCTTGGAAGAAGAAACAGAGACGGTTACAAAAAAAAGTCTAAACACGAGAAAGAGCAAGAGCGAGAGAGAGAGAGAAAGGAGAGAGAGGAATCCTTCTCTGACAAAATCTAAACCGTCAGATTTTCTTTCACAGAGGAATCATAGTGAAGCTTTCTTCTATCTGAAAATATCTATACATACACATTTAGTATGGTTTTCATTTATATATAACTCTCATGCATAACAGACGTATACTTACATGTTTATGCATGTATGTATACATATTTGTTTTTGTATTCAACAGTCAACAACACACTTAAGGTGAGGTTTAGTAGTTAGTAGTAAAAAGAAATTATATATATGTGTAACCGTCACTAATTTAATTTGTTTTTATCATGAATGGTATTTTATCTAAATTTATTAGGCTGTTTGTTTGGTGAGTGATCACTCTTTCATGTTTTTATTTCTTTCTTTCTACAAATTTTAAATTTGAATTTCACTTGTTTGTTTGGTGAGTTATCACTCTTTGAAGTATTCTCTCTTTTTTTCCATAAGAATTAAAGTTTGAACTGAACTCCCTTAGTTGGCTGTTTTGATTAAAACAAATGACAGTAAACCACAAAAAGTTATCACTCTTTAAAATTTGAAAAATTTGTTGAATTTAAACTCTCTTTTTGTGGCTTTTATAAGAGTCAAACTTGTTTCGTTTCCCTTAACCATGAGTCATGATGATTATCATGTACCCGCTTTAATACGTTTTCTTGTTTTACTGTCATTTGTTTTAAACTTTCAACAATATTTCTACTCTATTTATTTAAAAAATCTTTCAATCTTTACCTGTTTTAACCTTATTCTCTATAAATCATTTTACTCATATCATATGATACACTTATCACTGCTCGGTTACTCTCCATTCCGGCAATCCCTTATAGTACTTGTATATTCAAATTCTATTTTAGACAACAAATTATTACAATATACGCAAATCAAGTTTTACTGTTATTTTGTTATCAATTACAAATTATGAAATAAATCTAAGTCATGTTGACATAAACAAACCATGAATATAAAAATTGCGGACTTGGTACCTTCTATTAAAATTTGGTAGATCTGAAGACTGAGTTCTTTTGTTCTTTCTATTTTCTAGGAAAAAACTCTTTGGATATTATGGCTTCTGGTTTTTTTAATTGAACAAGGGACAATATTACATGAATCTAGGTAGGTGCAACACGTATATAATTTTATAATGGAGAGTTTTCACCTAAATATCACTATAGAACCTTGAATAGTCACACAAGTTTATCACTTTACTAACTTTGATAAACTATTAGAAAGTAGAAAACCACTATCTTTACTACTACTACTACAAAGGAAAAGAAAAAAAATATGAGAGTTGAATTTGTGGTGGCAAACGGAGTAGGCACATGCTAAGGTCTTTCAAATTATGTCCGAATCTGACTCTGACCCTTGCTTAGGCACATGGAATTTATTATCATTTTGTTTTCTACTTTCATATATAGAAAATTGACTTCAAATATTTATATATACATTTTGGACAAAAACAATTATTTGTAGTTATAATTCTCCATTCATCTTGTAACTGTACATATGTAAATATTGCAAAGAGATTGGATGTCGGAAATTCGTTTGTCGTCAATCTATGATCTATCCCTCCTTTTAGTATTCCAATTAATGAGATCAGTGATATAAACATGGAAGAAAATCGAAGTTATAGATGAAAAGTTCGTTTGATAAGTGAAGTATGGTTAATATAATTAGAAAATAATAATAAAATGCTGATTATATATTATGCTTTCATTTGAGATGAAGGCTTATACATGTGCTATCAGTTGGATGTTCTAAAACTTGGGAAGACGTACATGTCATAAATTATATATTACCGATTGAACATGTAACTGGCGAGATACGTCCAATGTTTTAAAATAATTATATTATATATGTATATGTATAAGTATAGTAATATATCGCGATTAGAATGTACTATCATGATTTCCTCGGTAAGCAAATAACGTTTTAAAGTCGAAAGTATCCAAAATCATCATAGATTGATACCAATTTGTGGTTCTTTTTTTACAAACATTTTCTTTGTATTTTCCGGGATGTGGCTAATAACTTTAATACTATGGATATGTTTACCTTCAAAGGCGAAAGAAAATAATTCGGCAGACAAATGTTCATATAATAAGATTACTATTCAAAAGTAAACATTATAGGTAAACTCTATATCAGACTAGAGTTCTGTACGACATTTGCTTCGCCGTGATATATTCTTACCAATTGTTACTGTAGCTAATCTTTTACAACATTATATAACTGTTAGCTACGGATTATTGGGATATTATTATTCAACATGCAAATTGAAAGTTTAGATTTATGATAAATAAATAAATGAAGAATTGAATTCATCAGAAAGAGATGTTTATCAACTAACCATTCATGCATCATTACTGACACTTTGGCCCTCCTCTATTAGTTATAGAATTGAATTATTATGTACTTCCAAAGATGAAGACACAATTGTGACTAATAATGATAAGTTTCTTCAATAAATGTGTGAGAAAAAAACTTATCAAAGGTTGTATTTTGATAGATTTAAAGAGGTGAAAATCTTTCAAATTAGCATCAAATCCAAGCAATTGTCGGCAGAATCCAACTTTACTTTTGATCTTTAGACTACACTACTTACAATTAGCAACTAAAAGCCAGTTCTCTTAGGTTAGGGTACAAAACATGTCGGCTAAACCTTCTTCGAAGCATTTTAGTTCGCTCTGATTTACGTTTTACTTATCATACCAATAAAAATGAAGAAAATAGAGAAAAAGTTCCCTCGAAAAAACAGACGAATAATTTAAATATTTTCGGGAAAAAACAGACGAATAATAAAATATATAACGACAAAAAATAAACAATATAAAAAGAAATGGCTTGAAAAGTACTACTATTCAAAAATCTGATCGGTCTATCCCAAAAACCGATTGGGTCGGCCCAATAAACACAGTTTTTTAACCCAAAAACAGATCATTACCATATTAACATGGATTTTGCAGGGGTTGATCCTATTTAAACACCCCCAATTCATTTTGAATCGTGGTATAGTTATAAAATTTAGAGACAAACGTTGGTCGTTAATTTGACGAAATGAAATCCATTACTCATCCGCCATTCAAAATATCATGATGTTATTTTAGTGAAGAGACCTGCTAAATTATCTCATTCCATTTTCATTAATAGCGGTTTCTTAAAGAAAACCATCATATAGCCTTTTGAGTATTTTTTTTTAAATCATTTTTCTATTAAAAACAGATATGCATCAATTATCAGCGTTTTGAAGGGTAAAAATATTACAGGACAAAGCTAAACTTAAATTTTTATGTCATCCATTATTAAGGGCATAAAAGAGGTACGTGAATGCATCAGCTTTATTACTACAAAATAGATGGATAGAGATTCTTACTTTTTTTACCACTGCTTCCTTTACTATTTACTTCTCCGAGATTCACATTCATCCCCATTGTATATCGTCGTCGTTTACCGAGTGGTCCTTATTCCCCTGACCTAAATCCGAAACAAAATAAACCGATTAAAACCGGAAATTCTTTGAATCATCTTTTTCCTCTATTTTATGCAAATCATCTACAAATTACAAAACTAAAACCAATGGAACAAACCAGAAAAGCTAATCAAAAGGGAATATGATTAGAATCTTGAAGAGGTTATAATAATCGGCAATGCATTCTCTGTTACCTTTGCTTTTAAAAACGTTGGCTCGATGGACCAAAATGAGGAATGTGTGGCTTAAAGCTTTTATTCAGAGACTTGAAGACTCCCAACTAGCATAAACAGCACCTATAATCTTCTCATGCAAAACTTGACCAGAACACGCAATGATTCCTCTGTCAAGACCTTCCAAGTAAACTCCTTTCGAGAAGTCTAAGTTCCTCCCTCCCGCATCAGTCACCACACCACCAGCTTCTTCCACAATCACCACACCAGCTGCGTGATCCCATATCTTCTCCTTGTAACTCGACTGTGCAAACTTCATAAACACTTCAGCGTCTCCACGAGCAATCGCTGCATATTTCACCATGCTATACACTCGCATTGGCTGTTTCCTGCATAAAGAAAGCAAGAAGAGAGATTAGTTTAGGAATCGTAGTTAGAGACATAAGAAACAAAACAACATTGAGTTACCTAACTCCCATGCTATTAGCAAGTCCTGCGGTGAACAAGTGGTTCGAGTTTGCTCTCTCTACTGGCTCACAAACCGTAGCTAAAGCCGGATCATCCACTGATGAAACCTTGAGTAGTGTTGCAGATTCAGGGATCCCTCCAGCGATTAACGGTTGCATCCACGCTTGACCACTTCCTCTCTTTGCATACATGACACATCCTTTCAACACCGAACCAGCTGCAGATTTAGTCGTCACGGTTTGGTTGCAGCCGTTACTTAAACATTCTTTCTTGACAGGATAGTTAGGACATCCAAGAACTCCCAAAAGCACTTTACCGTTCTCTATCAAGGCCAAAGCAACAGCGTACTGATCTCCACGAACGAATCCTAAGGTTCCATCGACGGGATCAAGAACCCAGTGCCTTCCTTTAGGACCTCCAACAGAGCTGCATCGACCTATAGCCTTGAGGATTTCAGTGGATCCCAAGGGTTTATCTGGCTTTGGAAGATTGTATCTAGGAGCTTCAGATAAAGCTTCATTGACAGCGTTAGAGACAGCTCCCAATAGACCCAATGACTCAGCCTTGGAGAGGGACTCAGTGTCCTCTTCAGCGACGATCGAGAGGTTTTCACCACCAAAAACTTCAGCTAAAACCCAGCTCACAATCGCTTGAACACCCCAATCTGTTAAACCAACAATGTCAAGAATCAGTTTAGTTCATATATAACCAATCACAGTGATCTCATCAGTGTAGACTTCTCACAGAACATGATTACATCTATGAAATTTATCACAAACAATCTGGTATTTTGTCAGGTAACACACACTTTTACTATTGCAATGTTGAAAGTAAAGGAGAGAAACTTGGCAATGTCGGTAACAGGAAACGAGATTAAGCAGCAATGGACACTTCGATGCACACAGAGAGAGTCAATAAAAATACAAAAATATATTGTCATTATTAAACTACTAATACAGACAAATCATTTGTTCAATCTGATTACTACATTACATGCTCTTAAAAGCCAATATAACTGTATAAAGTAAAATAATTTAGCATTAAACAACATGAATTCAACATGACCTGTGGATTTTGTGTTCAAAGGACACAAACAACTATGATTTTCGTTTCAGCTCAATGATAAACAAATCAAATTTCTTTCGCAAACATTGACACAACCCAATACCACAAATTCGTTCAAATTCAATAACCCATTAATCAAACAGATCTTGAATTGCAGTAAACCACGGCTCGAATCCTAGGAATGGAGAAAAACCAAACCCAAAATCGAACGTATGATCCAAAAAACAAAAATCAGAAGAAATCGGCGAGGGAAAAACCTGCGACGGTGACAGGGGAATCATCATCCTTGGACTTAACGTGACCGCCGTTAGTGGAGGAAGGAAGACGAAGCTTCTCCTGAACTTTAACACAGAGAGAAGAAGCGAGGTGCACCACACGCACCGCCGTGTCCATCTCCGTCGCTAATGATTCCACCGCCATCGCCGGCGAAATCTCTCGACGGATAAACTAAAGAACAGAGGAGGAGATATAATAAAAAGGTTCACTTTTTTCACATTCTTCTTCTCTCCACTGCCTCTTCTTCTCCTCTCCTTTGCTTTTCGACCTTTTTTCACAAAATGATAATTTATTATTTCGTTTCACTTTTATACCAACCTTTTTTGTGGCTTTTAATAAAATATGAAATAATTAATCGTTACCTAGTTTTCCCGGATTAAAAATACTTACTAGTTAATACACTTTTTTTCCCAAATCCCAACATAAATATATTTTCATAAGTTTGTTGTGATATTATCACCAAATTATTCTTCTAAAAATAAAAATAAAATTCTCATTTAGTTTGTATTTTATTTAATTTTTTGGCAACGTCCTAAAACTTTGTATTGCTAGTTTAAGACATATGGTGCACTATCATACCAAATTGCATTTTGAGTTTTGACGCTTTCTAATAAACCGATAATTGTATTCGAAAAGAATCTTAGTGGATATCTTTTGGCATCTTAATGAGCATTTTCGAAGGGTTTCCAAAAATCAAATTAATTACTTCTACTCTTCAAAATACAAAAATAAATAAATCATATGGTATACCCATTTATTCAAAGCAACATTTATTTCAAAATAAAAAAACTCATATGGTACACCTTAATTCAAAACAACCTAACAAGACATTATAACTATTAGAAAATTTTCATGTATGATAAATGCCAAAGAAAATAAATGACATAAGTTTACCAAAAAAAAAATGACATAATTCTTTTAAATATAAAATGGATTCTTATGGTTATGGTTACAACAAAATCTCAACGTGTGATGGTGGGTGGGGCTTGAACTTGATAGACTTGTAGTTGTAGTTAGGTGAATAAGGAACACGTGGGAATAAAAGTGCGAATTTATATTTTTCAAAACTTATACTCTCTTCTTTCAGCTAATACAAACGCATACTTCTTATAAATATACTTTTCGAAATTCGTCTATTAAGAGAAAAAAACTTAATAATACAAAGTATAACTTTTTTTTTTTTGAAAAGTTACAAAGTACAAAGTACAACTTATAACGTGATAATAAAAGTTGGAGTCAGAAAACGCATGGACGGCCTTTTTCTTTTTCTTCATCTTCAGTTTGGCTTAATAATTCAGGAAAAAACAACGAAATTATAATCGAAGAGGTCAAAATGTATTTAGACCGTAAAGGTGGAACTGTGCATGATCATGCATGCGGACAGGAAGCTCATGTGGTGCTGTATAATTAGTTGAAAAACCCATTTAACTAATCAGCATGTGATTAAATTATGTTAGTATTAAATAGGTAAATTAATTAACATGCGAATAATATTAAAAGCTTGTCAAACGAATGGTTCATAAATCATAAATAAGCTTCTTCTTTTTTTCTCCATTTCTATCACTCGTTAAAAAATGGTGAACTACCACAATCATCTACTTTTAGGGGGTAATCAAAATCGCAATTGTTTATTTTGATAGCTTTTAAAATAGTGGACAATATTTGATATACAAACGGACTTACCCACCGACCTCACCAAAAAGTATTTGCCGATATAGCTTACATCATACATTTATACCACCCATGTCAATTTCAGTGAGGCCAATATCATACATTTTCTTGGGCCGTTAGATAATCGAACTACCCTTTGAAGCCCATTATGAAACCCCCAAAAAATACTCATAGATTTAGGAAAATGGACAAGATGTTTAGGAATCACTCGAGTTCCAAAGAGGTGAAACTTCTAATTATACAAGGAAGGAAACAATCACCAATCAAACGCATGATGAAATGATAAAACATACCTCATTGGAGCAACTCAATTTTCCTAAAACTCCTTTCTCTCTCGATCATCGTTTTCATCGACTGAGACTGGACTCATTTCTGGATTAATTAAGAATTTTGCATACGAAAATTTGTGGGTAATTTGTGGGTCTTGTCTTAATTTAGTCCTAATCCCAATCGGTAAAAGAAAGAAAGAAAAAAAGAAAAATTGATAATTCAACGGTGACGTGTTTTTTTGGATAAAGAAAAAAAAAGACAAAGGTGACATGGCAAGTGGTAACCAAAACCCTCCTCCTAAAGACCAAACCCTGGCGACTAAAAAGAAAATCAGTTTGCCCTAATTCAAACAAACAAAACCCCAAATCGCTTCTTCTCTAACTCAAGCAGCAATGAGGAGCTCCTACAACGGCGGCGCAATGGGCGGACGTGCTGCCGGAACCGATGGTGGCGGAAGAGCATCAGCTCCGGTAGACAAAGAAGTTGATTACGCTCAATACTTCTGCACCTACTCCTTCCTCTACCACCAGAAAGACATGCTCTCCGACCGTGTCCGTATGGACGCCTACTTCAACGCCGTCTTCGAGAACAAACATCACTTTTCCGGCAAGGTATAAAAAAAAACCGAATCTTGGATCTCTTATATGTCATCATTCATTGGTCTCTGTTTGTTTTTTTTTTTTTTATGTGTGAAGACTTTGGCTAATTTGGTTTATTGGTAATGTTATGTAAAGACGGTCTTGGATGTGGGAACTGGAAGTGGGATTCTTGCGATATGGTCAGCTCAAGCTGGTGCGAGGAAGGTTTATGCTGTGGAAGCTACTTCAATGGCTGATCATGCTCGTGCTCTTGTCAAAGCCAATAACCTTGAACATATTGTTGAAGTCATACAAGGATCTGTCGAAGATATTTCATTGCCAGAGAAAGGTATTATGATTCAAGTTTCCTCTTTTTCCGATAATTAGGTGATTTGGGTATTTAAAAGTACTGATTTTTTTTTTTTCCAAGAAATCAGAGTCTAAGTTGAGACATAGCAATTTTTGGTTTCGAGTGTTAGAACATGTTTCTTATGATATGACTCTGCTCAGAGATTAAGCTAATAATATCTACATATTCAATTTTAATGTGCAGTTGATGTAATTATCTCGGAGTGGATGGGATACTTCCTTCTGCGTGAGTCCATGTTTGATTCTGTGATATGTGCTCGTGACCGATGGTTAAAGCCGACTGGTGTCATGTAAGTGGATCTCTGTTATTTGAAAAGATGCATACCTATATTTTCCACCAATGCGAGTTATAGAATCTTCTTTGAAAATGGTATATCGAATCTCATGCCTAGAGTTGTGAGGTCAATGTTGCTAACATTGAAAACAAAGTGAGCAAAAGATTTGGATTGATGTTGGTACTCTGTGTAGCTAATAAGTTTTGAATCCAATAGGTACCCTAGTCATGCTCGCATGTGGCTTGCACCTATCAAATCGAATATGGCAGATCGGAAGAAGAATGATTTCGATGGAGCAATGGCTGATTGGCATAACTTTTCAGATGAGATCAAAAGCTACTACGGGGTTGATATGGACGTTTTAACAAAACCTTTTGCTGAAGAACAAGAAAAGTATTACATACAGGTGAATTCTCTTTTTTGCTGCAAATTGATTTATCTCTTAAATGCAAATGAGAATTGTTTAAAAGACTTGAGATAAAGGTCCCTAGGTGAATGATGAACAATTAACATTTTTTTGGTCATTGATAAACATTACTTTTGTGCAGACGGCTATGTGGAATGACTTGAATCCACAACAAATCATAGGCACCCCTACAATTGTCAAAGAGATGGATTGTTTGACAGCCACTGTTAGTGAGATCGAGGAAGTCAGATCAAACGTATCGTCAGTCATCAATGTGGAGAACACAAGGCTATGTGGTTTTGGTGGATGGTTTGATGTTCAGTTTTTGGTAAGTTCATAGAGATTCTTTGTGTTGCATCATGTTGTGTGTATGTCGAAGAAACTCTTATACTTAGTTGGTATTTTTTGTAACTAGGGGAGAAAAGAAGACCCTGCGCAGCAAGAAATTGAATTGACCACAGCTCCAAGTGAACAGCACTGCACGCATTGGGGACAACAGGTACGTATGATGATGCTTAAGGCTTCAAATAGTTTCATTTGCTTATACAATATCTTGTCAAAAATATGTAAAAGGCAAACACCAAAGCAGAGTTATCCGTTTATATTTGCTTTTGGCATTTTACGTTTATAACCACAAAAGAATTTTGGTTAAGATCCTATAAGCTCATTTGATTTTTTTTTTTTTTTTTTTGTAAAATGTTGAACTGAAAGACATGTTATGATCGGAATGTGGCAGGTTTTCATATTGTCGAGTCCTATAAATGTTGGGGAAGGTGACAATCTGAATCTTGGTTTGGTAATGAGCCGGTCCAAGGAAAATCATCGACTAATGGAGGTCGAGCTTAATTGTGAGATAAAAGAGGTTTCTGGCAAGCCTAGGGAATCTTTCAAGAAGACTTATTTCATAGAATGATACAGAAACTGGTTGTAATGGAATTATCGGTCTTTTTTTTCTTTCTTAAACTTCATCCACATTATTATTGTTTAAGATGTATCTTTGTTACTGTGTTTTTTTTTTTTACCTAAATTTTGCAATTTAATCATTTGTATTAGTATTAGTGTTTGCGTTGTGTTATGATCATTAAGTGTTTGCATGCTTTTTTAAGTGTATGTAAGAGTATCTCCGATGTATAACTCCTTTTTTTTACCCAAAATGGATTTAATTCCTAAATGGATTTGAATTCTACTGTAACACTAGAGTAATTGCAAAATGGATATGAATTCTACTGTAACACTAGAGTAATGAGTAAAAAATGGAGTAGTAAATGTACTCTATATTGGGGAGTAATCCTATTTTTTTATTTAATTATAAATTTGAAAATGAAATAGGATTGGAAAATATTTTACTCCAAAATAGAGTTTGAGGTAAAAAAAAAAATATATAGTAAGATTGAAAATGCTCTAAATTATAAGCCGATTTTTTTTTTTTTTGGTCCACCGATCTTTTGCGGATCTAAATTATGTGCGGAAAGATGAAATTGGGTAACTTGAGCGAATGTTCAAAAATATTGACATTTAGAACAAAAATTAGATGAGGATAATGATTTTTTGGAAGTGGATCCAACATTTTCTAATCTTAGGTGAGGAGGCCAATTCCTTTTAACTAAACAAATTGAAATATTATGTATAATGTCTTTTCCACGAAAATGACACATATTATCATTTTTGTCCCTAGTGCTTAATAGAAGCTAAAAACCACATAAACGAGATAGAGCAAATCATGGAAAACTTTATTTTAGTTGTTAAAAACTTTAAGTGTCTAGATACAAAATAATATCTCCGACTTACTCTTTTTTTTTTTTTTGACAACTATCTCCGACTTACTGTAAAAGAGAGATATGTCACATCGATGAAAATTTCCAATCAATTTATCCTACTGGAAGACGTTGTACTATTTGTCTAATTGTCGAGTTCAACATAATTAATAAGTCTTATAAAAGGTATAGATATCCCGATATTTTTATAATCAGACCCTATAAATCATTTCAACGCGTTCATTTGAATATGATATGAACCTTTTTGTGCCTTTAAGGTCCCATAAATTATAAAATAAACGAATCTAAAAAGTCTTATAAGTTAGTACGTAGTCGTCTTCTAGTTCCAACATTCGAACAATAATAAGTTTAAAAAAACAACACAAAAGATTAAGTAAATAAAGAAGATTCATCTGTAGGAATCATGTGGTTTGATATTGGAACGCATGTGCAAGCACATGGTGTGACCTAACGACTTCATCCTCCCCACTATCATATTCTTTTTTTTTTTCTCTCTCAGGATATTGCATTGATAGTTGTTTTTTTTCCGCTAAATTTTGATAGATATTGCATTTATAATTATTTTTATTTTGCTATAATAATTTTATGTTTTTGTATATGAGAACGAAATTTTCACGTCGTGTTATGATTGACAAATTCCCCAAATACATATCTAGACAGTGTTTACTCCAACATATAATGAGAATAAAAAGTAACACGTTAAACACCAAAGTCTTTTTTCATGTTTGAAATATGAGGTTTTAATAAAGTACGTAACCAAACAAGCTAACCTTGTAATTCAAGAACATAATTTTGAACTAGTCAAACATAAACACATATTTTCTGTTTAATGTACAATTTAGATCTAAAATACGTACACAGAATTTCGACTAATCAAATACACAGAATTTCGACTAATCACATTTTCTGTATAATGTACAATTGAAATCTAAAATACACAGAATTTCGACTAATGTGCGTGGTTGTTACGTTATATGTTCGTTCTGTGTGTAGGTTATTCCGTTAAGACACAACGTCACAGTTTCGGTTTCGGGTTGTTTTGTTAGCCGAAATGCAAACGGAGAAGAGCACCGTCGGTTACGGCGCCGTCATTATTGTCCACTCCCTACTTCCAAAAGCCGCGTTTGAGGGCTCCACTCAATTTTCGAGTTTATTCGAGTTCGAGTATTGGGCAATATCCATTTTGATTTATGTTTTAAAGTTTTCATATCCAAATTTATTATCTAGGTACCACCTGCGAAAGTGTCAGCATATAAATTAATATAGTTTCATAGATTATCATAATTTTAGAGCATCTACTATGCAATTGAATAGAGGTTTAATATCTTCTAAATCACTCGCCGAATAAATAACGTTAGGAGTTAACCTGTTTCAAACTTCGAGACTTCGTCATATAATTTTTTTCTTAAAAAAATAGTTGATATTTTATAATTTTTTTTGTTTATATGATGTCTTGAACATTCATATTATATTTTATGATCAATTATGTTGTTACAGTTTTTATTTTTTATTTGTTGAACTGTATTTAAATAGATAATAAATTATGTCTTACCTCAAAAATTATATTTTATAAAAAAATATGTATGAAAAACCTTTGAACATCAATTATCTTGAAACGGATGAAATTTTAGATTGAAAATATGTGTAGTATTAGTTTACGTACAAAATAACTCATCTAATTTTTCAAAGCCAATACTAATGTAGCTTAATTGGTTTAGAATTAGAATTTGAAACCATAAATAGATGAGTTGAATTAAGTCATTCATTCATTGATTAGTTGGAAACTTGGCTGGTATGACCCATTTTCAACAGTTATAACTTGTAGGTTATATACCTCTACCTTTACCTCTGCTACCAGTTTATTTAAAGCTCTGTCTATTGTTTTATTATATACTACTATAGTCTTAGTCTATATATATGCAAACAAATGCTATTCAAATTAGTAGTTGAAACATATTTCAGATAACTTATTTTCATCATTAATGCAAAACGATCTCAATATAGTTAGTTTTCTACCGGCTTAACTACCTTTTCAGAAAAAGACAGTGAAATCATATTTTGGTATACGAAATCTAATTTACTGAAATTCTCTAGTGGATATCAATATGGTTAGTTTTCTACCGGTTTAACTACTTATATTGACAAAAAAGACATTGAAGTCGTATTTTGGTATACGAAATCTAACTTACTGAAATTCCCTAGTGGATATCGAATTAGACTTTGATACTAACAAGTGTCTATAGAGATGGACTCGAACAAACCAATCTATATAAAATTTAATGTAGTTGGATTATTACAAAAACGGGAAAGCCAAAAAAATTAAAGCGAAGTATCAGCAATTTTAAACCTTTTACAATAAATCTTGATAACCTATTCGCAGAGATAAGAAATTATCAACAATTTAACAAGATATGATGGAGAGAGTTCCACAGAAAAAAAAATGAAATAAATTTAAGGATCGAAACAAGAGGTGATGATAAATAGTGACCCACACAATACAACAACAATAGCCAAAACCAAAAGACATACTTATACGTTTTCTTATTTCTTCCTATCTTTTAGAAAAGGACCTTACAAAAATGATCACATTAATAGTTATCACAACTAAAGAAATCACATTAACAGCTAATACCCGCCACGATTTGATGCAACCTCATCAGTATACAACAGACAAAAAGAAATTTAACTAATAATCATTAATAAAACTTATAAAGTAAAAGACTAATCTTATAATTATTCTTTAATCCTATTCTATTTAATTAGTCTCTCTCTCTCTCTATATCTCTCAACTCTCTTTGTGTAGGCCCTTGTGAATGGTTTTCCTTTGAGTTGCTTCTCCTCTGTAAGATGACAGCCTAAACAACCAGCCTGGAAAGAGCTATAGAGAGAAGAAATTTGCAGAAAGTACCACTCCAAAAGTCTCTGCCTTTTCTCTTTTTTTTTTTCTTTCTTTCTTTGATCTCTCTCTAGGGTTTGATTGATTCCTGTTCGTCCCAAAACAGACATTCTTGAAATTGGGTTTCTCGCCATGTGAATCCAAACCTCAAAGCTTCAACATTTTTTTTTTCTTATCTCTCAATCAAATCCCCATTCTCGTCTGTATCTCCAGCTTCTTCAAGGGCAATCTCCAAAACAGCTCTTCTTCCCTTCCAATTTTCAAACCAAAACACAAAAACTTTGATTCTTTGGTTCTGGGTTTTCTTCGTATATCGATTTGGGTTATTGGGTTCTTACTAAAAATCCAAGATTTACAAAATGGTGTTCACAAATTGGTGTTCACTTCTTCTTCTTCTTCTGTTCCTCTCTTGTTACACTTCATCTGCCTTGTTCAATCCGCCAGATAATTACTTGGTTGCTTGTGGCTCATCACAAAACATAACTTTCCAAGGCAGAACCTTTGTTCCAGATTCTCTCCACTCTTCTCTCGTACTCAAAATCGGAAACTCATCCGTAGCAACCAGCTCCAATTCGAGCACTCCCTCGATCTACCAAACCGCTCGTGTTTTCTCCGGTTTAGCTTCATACAGATTCAAAATCACCGCATTGGGTCGACATTGGATCCGTCTCCATTTCTCTCCGGTGAAAAACTCGACCTGGAACTTGAACTCTGCATCAATCACAGTCGCCACAGACGACTTCGTGCTCTTGAACAGCTTCTCCTTCAAGAACCACAACGGGTCTTACCTCTTCAAGGAGTACACAGTCAATGTCACTTCAGATTTCTTAACCATAACTTTCATCCCTTCAAACAACTCGGTGGTGTTTGTCAACGCGATTGAAGTTATCTCTGTCCCTGATAACCTTATCCCCGATCAAGCTCTGGCTCTAAACCCTTCGTCTCCATTCACTGGTCTCTCTCAGCTCGCGTTTGAAACCGTCTACAGATTGAACATGGGAGGACCACTGTTGACTTCTGAGAACGACACTCTAGGGAGAAGATGGGACAACGATGCAGAGTATCTCCATGTGAATAGCTCTGTTCTTGTCGTAACAGCGAATCCTTCCTCGATCAAGTACTCTGCTTCCGTGACGCAAGATACAGCTCCTAACATGGTTTACGCAACCGCTGATACAATGGGTGAAGCGAATGTAGCGAGCCCGAGTTTTAACGTCACTTGGGTTCTTCCTGTAGATCCAGATTTCAGGTACTTTGTTCGTGTTCATTTCTGCGATGTCTTGAGCCAAGCTTTGAACACGCTTGTCTTCAATCTCTATGTGAATGATGATCTTGCTCTAGGAAGTCTTGATCTCTCCACGTTGACTAATGGTCTTAAAGTCCCTTACTTTAAGGATTTCATCTCCAATGGCTCCGTTGAATCTTCCGGTGTGTTAACCGTTAGCGTCGGGCCAGATTCGCAAGCTGATATCACGAACGCGACTATGAATGGGTTAGAGGTTTTAAAGATTAGTAACGAAGCTAAGAGCTTAAGCGGTGTTTCTTCGGTTAAGTCTCTTGTCCCTGGAGGATCAGACTCCGAGAGGAAGAAGAAGAAAGCGGTTATCATCGGTTCTGCGGTTGGTTCGGTTACCTTGGTTCTGCTAATCGCGGTTTGTTGCTATTGCTGTTTAGCTGCTTCGAGGAAGAAGAAGAGATCGACGAGTCCTCAAGAAGGAGGTAATGGAGGACATCCATGGCTGCCTTTGCCTTTGTATGGACTCTCTCAGACTCTTACCAAATCAACCGCTTCTCACAAGAGCAACACGGCTAGTTGCATCTCTTTAGCCTCCACGCATCTTGGTCGTTGCTTTATGTTCCAAGAAATCATGGACGCTACAAACAAATTCGACGAGAGCTCGTTGCTCGGTGTAGGCGGATTCGGTCGTGTTTACAAAGGGACTTTAGAAGATGGAACCAATGTCGCGGTCAAGAGAGGAAACCCGAGATCAGAACAAGGTATGGCTGAGTTCAGAACAGAGATCGAAATGCTGTCAAAACTCAGACATAGACATCTCGTCTCGCTGATCGGTTACTGCGACGAGAGGTCGGAGATGATTCTTGTTTACGAGTACATGGCGAATGGACCGTTGAGGAGTCATCTCTACGGAGCTGATCTTCCACCATTGTCGTGGAAACAAAGACTCGAGATTTGCATCGGAGCAGCGAGAGGGTTACATTACCTACACACCGGCGCGTCGCAGAGCATCATACACAGAGACGTGAAAACCACGAACATCTTGTTAGACGAGAATCTTGTAGCGAAAGTCGCCGACTTTGGACTGTCCAAAACCGGACCTTCTCTCGACCAAACCCATGTGAGCACGGCGGTTAAAGGAAGCTTCGGTTATCTCGACCCGGAGTACTTCAGGAGACAGCAGCTAACGGAGAAATCCGATGTTTACTCCTTCGGTGTTGTTCTAATGGAAGTGCTCTGTTGTAGACCGGCTTTAAACCCGGTTTTGCCTAGAGAGCAAGTGAACATAGCGGAGTGGGCAATGGCTTGGCAGAAAAAGGGCTTGCTTGATCAGATCATGGACAGTAACTTAACCGGGAAAGTGAATCCGGCGTCGTTGAAGAAGTTCGGTGAAACGGCGGAGAAATGTTTGGCGGAGTACGGCGTTGATCGGCCGTCGATGGGAGATGTGTTGTGGAACTTGGAGTATGCTTTGCAGCTTGAGGAAACTTCGTCGGCTTTGTTGGAGCCTGATGATAATAGCACGAACCATATCCCTGGGATTCCAATGGCGCCAATGGAGCCGTTTGATAACAGTATGAGTATAATTGATAGAGGAGGAGGAAACTCCGGGACTGGGACTGATGATGATGCGGAGGATGCGACTACGAGTGCTGTGTTTTCGCAGCTTGTTCATCCTCGTGGAAGGTAGAAGAAGAAGAAGAAGAAGATGCAGAGACAGACATTGTTTGTTTTGAAATTTTACAGAGAGAAGAGATATGTAAAGACTGTTTTTGGGTTGGATCCAAAATTATTCATTCAGATGATTTATTTCGAATTATTTAAACCGGTGTATTTGTTTTGTAATATAGTGAGTTCTTAAAGCAAATCAAGAATCAGAATGTGATGATATATTTTAACAGACTCGACATTCTATGGTCAGATTTAATCATCTTGAATCAATTTTTGTTTCTCCTATTAAAAGTTGTTTTTCCCCTGCATTTTTCATCAACTTCTTGATTTGGATTGGCAGATTAAACCATGTTTATAATTATAGATATTTATATATCATTAACATTGATTAAGTACTTCATACAAATTAGACCACATGAAATCAAGAATTCAGAATGTGATTATATATTTTAACCCTTTTTCAAGTTCTTTGGATTCATTTTCTTTTTCTTTTTCTGGATAAAAGTACATAGTTTAATCTGGGACGACGTCGTTTCCATTTGAAGGAGAGACTAAAAATTAAAACTGACAAAAATGCGGTGAGCGTGGATCGAACACGCGACCTTCAGATCTTCAGTCTGACGCTCTCCCAACTGAGCTATCCCCGCTTTGATGTCTTATAAGAAACACCTTATTTAATGAAGCAGATTTTAAAATGAGAAACAGAACTTTCAGTTTCAGATCATAGTTTCATCAATGGATCCATAATCAGTTTCGAGTGATGGAGATTCTCGTTAATCTGAAGAAATCAAAAGTTACTGTGATTTGTGAGTCTCAGATTCGACATTCTATGGTCAGATTTAATATTCTTGAATCAAAGTTTTTTTTCTCCTAGTAAAAGTTGTTTTTCCTCTGCATTCTTCATGAACTTCATGATTTGGATTGGTAGATTAAGCCATGTTTATAGATATTTATATATCATTAACATTGATTAAGTTAATACAAATACAAATTAGAACACATGGTTGTTGATGATACAATGCAAGTAACAAAAAGTAAGCAAATACAATATGTTTTCCTTCACGTAATTTAAATATACTTTGAAAATTCTCCAGGAGAAGCTACTGTGCTCTCTGGCATTATTCTTCCTTTAAGCCATGTTCATATGATTATCTTTACTTCCTGCAGACGATTCCATATCCAGAAGATGCTCCACGGGTACAATCCAAAGCTGCGTATTCAATCTCTGACTTAACGGAATCAATCTCTGCCTGTGATTCAGAGAAGATGCAAGTCTTGCAGTCATTGGAGAGAAGAGAAGATGTCTTGAAGCTGTCTTCACCACCAACCACGGGCATAGCGACTCCAGGCTTAGCCGGATTCTGGAAATCCGGTTTGTAGGTTCGTCCCAAGATTCCGTCGACGTTTGGTGAAAGGTTGAAGAATTTGAACTGAACCTCGAGATGTGCAAAACAGTCATCTGATGGTACTTTGTAGCTGTGGATCCTGTCGTCTTCTTTAGTCACTGGAACCACATTGACCATGATCTCGGCTTTGTCTTTGATTGTCACGATCACGCTGTTTCTCTTAGTCACTCTCTCGATCTTGATGTCCTTGTTTGGTGAGTACCTGGTTTTCAAGAAAACATATATCTGTTTCAAGATTCTTGAAAAACACATATCTTATAACTTAGTTTTGGTTCGAGTACTAACCAGGTGGAGAGAGTTTCTTCCGAGACAGATAGTTCTTGGCCACCGAATGTGAATTTGAGATGGTCAATCTCCTCGTTCCAGGTAGCGGATTTCGCGGCTTCAAGGGAGAATTTATGAGAGTTGAAGAGGAAGCCTAGAGCTTGGATCCATGTGAAGTCTCTGGCGCGACCAGCGGGTCTGTGGCCAATGAACCTACCATTGATCTGGAGGTCAGAGTCAGAGACGAGGCTGAATTCTTGGTTGCTCTTTCCATGGAAATAGAACACAATGCCGTCTCCTCCAATGAACCTCGGGTCATAACAAGCTGAACCAGGTCTGTTGCAGTTCGGTTTCCTCACTATACACAAACATATGATTCATTACTAAGAAAAATGCAATAGAAAGAGATTGCACAAAAAAAATATGTGAAAAACTTGTAAGACAAGGAATCGAAAAGCCGTACTGCGGCATTGGGATTTGCAAGTGGGTCTATCACAATCGGCGTAGCAAACTTTGTTTTTGGAGTTCATGTCGGTTGTGCTTGGACATTCCTCTGGACATTGAATGTACTGGCGGTAACATCGAGTGTAAGGGTTGCTACAGTAAACTCCAGCTGCCTTAGCTTGCAAGAAATAAGTTGCAGCAACAAGAGAAAGGACTAGCAAAAGGGCTTTTGAGATCTCCATCTTTGTATTCTTTTTTGTGTTTTTTATTAGAGAAGGAGAGAGTTGATTGATTGTGTTGGTGATGATGTGGGTTGAATTGTTGTTTATGAATTTATAGAGATTAATGGTCAAATGCTTGCTTAATAAAGGGCTATCATATAAATTAATTATTGACTTCCATGTTGGGGAATTGTGTGCTTTTCGACGAACTTCGCGGTGACACCATCAACAATTGCACTTAACGTTTTTTACTTCGTTTCAAAGTAAAAGTATGGCTATTTCTCCAATTTAAGCATCGTTTAAGATTAATTCTGTAATGAAGACAAACTATTTAACATAACCGAATATCTTTTAATGTACCAAACGAAGTTATTGACAAAATTTCTTTAACAAGAGAAATCATATGTATGATTTTAGGTGAACTCTCTTCATCCTGCTGTCACATCAGCATCTGAATGGAGGACACCTGTCATTTTATCTAATTAATAAATTTTAAATTTAAAAAAAAAAAATAAAAACTAATTAATACCACTACTTCTAACTTAACTATTCTATTTAATATTTATTTTATATGTATTTATGTTCATAACTATTAAGTTACATTAATATTAATGCTTCTCACATTCCTAACAAAAAAATAAATAAACAACATTTTTAATCTTTTACATTTTTAACTTTTTGGTATTCGTCTAAAACTTTTTAATATTTTTTTATACTAACTTAATACTTTTCTTCCTGCTTATCCTTATCATAAACACTTTTTTCGAAGCTTGTTGTATGAAAAATTGTAAAGATGTAGCGTTATCTTCATTCAAAGATTTAGCGGTTTTTATGGGTCAAATATAATATTATTATAGCTGCATTTTATAATATTATTGTGAAACATAAAATATGAGGTGGTTCTTGTAGAATCAAAGCAATTGTACATATCATAAATTTGAGAACATTAAAAATCAGAGGTAATTATATGTTTTCAAGCAATTCAACCAGAAAATATGACTTTTATCTATGTCTTTTTTACTCATATCATGTTTATGTTTTTAGAAAGTAAAATAATTTTCCTAATTACCATACTTCCAATCCTTAAAGAAAAATTATTTGTTTTACAAAGAATTTATTTTAAAAAAACATAATACTAAACAATCAAACAAATTACTATATTCTTATAATTAATATATATATATATATATCAACACAAACATATTTTTAAAAATATTATATGAAACAAAATCTGCGCGTATGCACGGATACACGTCTAGTACTAATAATTAACTGTTAATGAAGATAGCTAAGTGATCCACATTTCTCGGTCTTCATAAATAGGACAATTGCATTTTGTTGGGCATGTGTAGTATATACATGTGACCTGTTAGAATCTTTTGATGCTCGTTCACGGTGGTATATGATGTCTATGAACCATTCTTTCAGAAAAAAAAAAAGAAAAAGAAAAATCACGACTTGACCCAAAATCTATAAAAAACAAAAACAAAAACAAAAACAAAATGTTCCTTTATGGAATAATATTTTTGGTTAACAGTGGAATTTACGTCTTCAGTGGTTAGGTCAACTATTCTTCCTAGGTTTTTTTTATTAGAAATCTTAGGTTAAGGTAAAACAGGTGCCTAATTAACCGTTCATAGATTAAACAGATCTATCAAATCGTGGGTTTATTATCTGATAATTCGAAGTAAAATAACCTTGCAGTTTGAGAGATACATTAGTGTAAATCAAAGTAAAGTTCTATCTTTTGTTTTTTTTATTATCTGATGAACACATGGTTGCGATCTTGTGAGTATTCTATCTTTTGTTTGTTTCTATTTTTGAATTTGAATTTTTGAATTTGATATATATATATATATATAATATTATAACTTGACAAGACGAGAACTACTTTGAGTAACAAGAATTTGATTGAGAATTTGGTTTTTAACCGGCCATATATATATATTACGTTGCTATAACTACATATATCCTGTGAACGTGTTATTCAATAAAGAGAAAAATTATAAAATTATCTGTACTATTCTACTATCAAAGTGACTTAGGATGAACTTACTCAAAACTAGTGATCAATTATAAATTATAAAATAAAAATATTTTGTTCGTCTGGGTTTTTAGTTATTATTGAGTTCTTAATATTTTGAGCTTAGTCACTAAAGTTGGCTGATGTAATTGGTGAGCACTTTTGCTCCTTTAAAATGTTCAAAAATAAATTTTGTCAAAAAGAAAATGTTCAAAAAGAAAAAGAAAAACAAGTCAGACTTGTTATAGCTTCATTCATGTATCTAAAATCAAGTAAATTTTTTTTATCGATGAATGATTACGAGAGTTTTAGAGATAGAGAGTAAGAACCTGTTGGCCGATGTAGACATGTAGTTGAGGAGAGAATCGTTCGGCCATGAAAATCTAGCTTGCAAGTAGAAGAAGAACCACAGATGCAATGCAATCATGCAAAAAGGAAGATCATTATGAAACTTGTAATAATAATCCGAACCAATGCATAGTTTAGCGAGCAGACGACGTCGTTGAAGGGGAGAGTAAAAATTAAAACTTGTAAAATGCGGTGAGCGTGGATCGAACACGCGACCATCAGATCTTCAGTCTGACGCTCTCCCAACTGAGCTATCCCTGCGATGTCTAAGAAACCCAAACAGTACATTATACACCAAAAAGACCAAAACACAACAATATAGATGAACAAAACCGCAAAGCCTGATGCAGGGAGAGACACGATTTACGTACCTTTTGTGAAAATAGTAATACTAACCAAATACATTATCAGCATAGATATGCACATCGCACACGATATGATGAGCTGTTTTGAAACAACTTGTTATAGAATCTCATTAGTACTGGTTTGAGTAGATTGAATTACAAATTTGAAACTTGAAAAGTAGTTAAACGAAAATTTGAGTTCATTACTTTGTTTTTCCTTCATATTGTTATGAGATTCTGCAACCATAGATCCAAATCTTCATGAACTCAAACCAATATACAAATGATAGGCTATGAAAAAAAAGAACGTTTTATTGTCAATAGTAGAGAGAGTTGTAAATTTGGTAATTACCTAGGAACTCTCATTACTTAATTTGTTTTTGGATTGAAATAATCTTATTGCCCTTTATCAGACAAGTTTCGGCTCAAACAAAGGCTTGATATGGCTCTTCATAAACTCCTGCCTAATTGACAAAAATTTATTTGTTTCGTTCAGTATGGACTCTAGAGTCAAACTAAGTGATCGAGTCAACTTTTTCGTCTTGTAGTATGATTCTGGAGCTTTATTTGGCGACGCCGCAACGGAATGACATTTTTAAATGTCTGAGATATTTCGTCTAAACATTCTTCAGATAGATTGAAATTGGTCTTCCAATTCATTATTTTTGATGCAATGTACAATGGAGAAATGCCTTTAGGACATCCTTCGTAAAGAGGTTGATTTGCCATTTCAGATGTTTGAAAAACGTTATCATGACAATTTGCACTACAAAAAATAAGGTAGTTAATATTCCTTATTTTTAATGTTTATCTAAAAAATAATTTCTAACAATCATAATTCAAAATTATGACAATAAATTTTTAATTACCAATTTATACAGTATTTTCTTAAGCCCTTTTCAATTAGGTTTAGTTTAACTTCAAAGACATTTTTATTAAGTTTAAATATTAATATATACAAAATATGTCTATATTTATAAAAGCATATCATTATTTTTAAGACTTGATAATTTACGTTGAATACCTTATTTCTTGTTGTGTCTCATGGCGAATTTCGGAATCATCGGGCATGTGTACATCTTCTTTTGCATTATAATTTTGATCGACGGGCATTTGAACATTTGGACTATGAATCCAAGTTTCTTGTTCACCCCCGCAATGACTTGTAGATGCTCCACCATCGTTGTAGCAAATTTCTCCATGATGTGTCCAAAAATAGTAATTCAGCGTAAATCCCTTCAAATACAGATGTTTTTCAACGGTATCTGCATCACGACGTTTTTGGTTTTTACACTTCAAACACGGACACAATAAATTTCCCCGGTCCTTATAAGATGGTTGATTACGAATGAAAGACAAAAATGTTTGTATTCCTTCAACAAATTTATCTGACACCTTTCGTTGATCTATGTCTAAACGAGAATACATCCATTCTCTCGAATAATAAAACTCAGACATTTGTGTTTCTCTAAAATAATAAAACTCATGAGAGAAACATGTCCATAATGAAAATGAAAATACCAAATGTGACGAACATGTCTTTTATAATCTCTTTTGCCACAAATTGCCACAAATAGTTTTGTAGCATCAAAGAATATATTATCTGCTATCTGAAATGAAACGACGTAACACCTTTTTGCAGAGCACAGACCATTGCCACAAATAATTTTGTGGCAAATTAGAGGCAAACTTTGGTAATTCGTGGCAAACTGATAAAATATCTTTGCAAGTACATAATTTTATTGGACATATCAGTCGAAATTTTGATACAAATTTGTAGTGAAATAATTTTGTGGCAATTGTGTTAAATTCTAACGGTATTCGTGTTATGGCAAATTTGACAGAACATCTTTTCTAATAATATGTGGAAAATATTGACACAAAATTATTGTATGATAATATGTGGTAATTTTTGTAACAAAATGCCACGACATGTGTTACTTGCCATAAAATTCAACAAAATTTGTAAAAAAAAATTTTTGTGGTAATTTTGTTATAAATCTGTGGTAAAATACATTTACCACGAAATGATTGTGGTAAAATTCTTGCAATATACAATTTTTCTTGTAGTGTCTCATTTATGAAAAGAATCCAATTGATCAAATCTGAAATTCTCAGTACTATCAACTTCCAGACCAAATCAAAACAAGTTCTGTTGGAAAACTTAACCACAAGATGAAATGAACTGATTATGTTGGCATGCTCGCTTCATAATTTGCGTTTATTAGAGATTACCATACTCACTCTTCCGAAAATGTCATAATATTTTTCAAAAATAGATGATAGGTTTAGACGTTTAGTTGCCA